GTCTGAGAATGAGGTAAGCTACCTGGAGAGGTAGTGAGTGTCACCAAGATGTCCTAGAGCTAGTTAGGACACCTTGACCTGCCAAGACATTGCACAGGGCAGAGGAGAAGCACATAACTAAGCATCTTGAAGGATATAGTTGTTTACGATTCAGTCCTGTTACCAAAGACAATGTTCCCTTCCCAATTGCAGATGTTCAGTGGGGGCTGGGAGAAGCCTATGAATGTGGTACTCAGACCCATGGTTCCCTCTGCTTGTTGACCAGCCTTGGGAAATGGACAATATAGAGCCCCCCTGGGGCTCTATATAAGGCCATGGGGTTAAGGATGCATTCAGCTAAAGTAACAAAGACTATCTTCAGTCACTTAAGCAGAAAAGAAATTGATAGGAAGGGGTTCACAGAACCAAGCAGAAGCAGAGGCAAGACTTGATAAACAAACAATTAACAGTGGCTCTGAAGGGCAATGTCTTTGTTTTCTGTTGCTATAACAACATACCTGAGATTGGCTAATTATTCAGAATAGAAGTTTATTTGGCTCACGCTTGTGAGAAGTCCAAAAGCATGGCACTGGAGTCTGCTTGTCAGTCTGCTGAGGGTCTTTGTGATGCTAGGACATTACATGGGGAGAGAGAGCAAGCATACCCGTTTGGGTCTCTCTCTTCTTACAAAAACCACTAATGCCATCATGGGCCCCAATCTCAGGACCTCATCTAATCTTATTTACCTCTCAAAGGCCCCTCCTCTAAATACTATTAATGTATAAACTTGAGGGTTAAGTTTCCAACACTCGAACCATTGGGGGACACATCTAAACAATAGCATGCACAACAATCTGCCTCTGTCCCACAGCAGTACTGCCCTACTGCTCAGCCGTCCCCAYTACCTTGCATCACCTGGTTCCAAATCCTGGGCTGGAGTGGCTGTTGCCTGAGCCTGGTTCCCTGCTGCTACCCTGGTTGCCAGGTCACAAAGGGATGAATYGACTCATCTGACTTCCGGGTGGGAAATAAGGCACAGTCATGGCCTTCTTAACATGTAATTTGGAGGACAAAACTTGCCCACTCCATCTCCCATCTAATAACAGGGTTGGATGCTGGGTATTCCTGAAGAATATGAGCAATATCTACTATAGTTAGGTGCTAGGTGGGAGCAGCGTGTACTAGAACTCAGATCTACCTGATTCCCAGACTGAAAGAGGAGATAAGAGATTAGACCTTATCCTTGCTGTCCACTCCAGCCGCCTATAGACTGCAAAACAAATATATAAAACAAATATAGTCTATGTCACTCATAAAGGACTTATCATAAAATAATAATTAAATACAAATAAAACAACAAGGCAAAAATTTTTGAGCTATTATCATGTACCAGAACCTGTGCCAAGCTAAGTTTGTTATGCATTTTAATTCATTTAGTTCTAACAACATTGCCCTGGATTATAAATGGATGTAAGCCTTTGAGCATATCTTCTTTCTCCTGTTAGACTGTATACTTTTGAGGTCAGGGAACATCTTTTATCAGTCATTCTATCCCAGCCACACCACTAGGGAGTTTGATGTATTCCAATAAAACTGTTACGAATTGCTGCATTTAACTCTTAGCTCCTCTTTGATGTCTAAACCCTCCTAAATTTACTTATACAGTCTCAAAGACAGAGAGCCTGCCCTCATCTGGTTGTTCCATAGGAAAGTGTGGACATTAATTCCGGAGAGATCTGGGTTTGAAGCCTGATCCACTGAGTGCTAGCTGAATTCATGACCCTGAGCAGATTTTAGATGACAGTATCCATGGGTGTCTGTCATTGCTTTTCCTTGATCACTCCCAGGAGTAGTAATATTGCAGACAAGAATATTTAAGAACTGCATATCTAAGTCCGTACATCGGGAGACTAATTAAATGCTTCCTTTGTGAAAGACAATTTAGTGTCATCAGAGGAAAGCAGAATCAGATAGGCAATCGGTGAGATCTTGGGTGCTCACAACATGTTGATCCGAGCTCAAATTCTAACTCTCCTTCAGACCTCAGGAAAAATCATGTAAACTTTGTATGTAAGAAGAGACAGACCCAAACAGGTATGCTTKCTCTCTCTCCCCATGTAATGCCCTAGGATTTTAAAATGTTAATACAGCCACAAGACTGGGATCCTATTTAGAATAATATGTACTCCATGTTTGTATAAATTTGTCAAAACATACTTTACTSTCATGTAAAACTAAAGAGAACAAATAAAAAATTCAAAAAATTATAGAGCTTTTATAATAAGAATGTGTAGTAGATGTTGATTAGGTGTGAGTCACTGCCCTACTTAATGCTCTAACCTCAGAAAGAAAAGGTGGTAGCAATCCTGTCAAAAGTCCAACAGTGTTCTCTTTGAGTGATAGGAAGGGTATGCTATCTTTTTTTTTAACCTATATTGAGGACTATTTATCATTTTAAAGGGTGATTTTATAGTCTGTCAGTCCTCTTTCCAAGCAATTCTACTTCTGGGAAACTGCTCTAAGAAAAAAAATGCTGAAATGTAGAAAAAAAAAAAAACTTTAGAGATCAGAGTATTCAACTGTGCATTGTGAAAATAGTGCATCATTGAAACATAAATGTGACACCATGTGGAAATGGCTGCATGAATTATGGGGCTTCATACAATGGGGATAACGTGACATTACAACACTATTACAGTGGTAGTTACAAAGGGTTTAGTAACAAAGAAGATGCTTATGTTGTGGTGGCAAATGAAAAAGGACCCGTGTGCAAGTTCAAGGTCAGAAGTATCTTGCCTGGCCTGGAGGGTGAGCATCTGCAACCTCTCTGTTTASAGCAGAGAGCAAGATTAGTGGGCAGGCATCACTGATCTCACAGAAACCCTGGAATACAGGGAACATTGCTTTACCAGTTCCTCTGTACTGACAGCAGGAGGTACAGTCCACACTGGAGGAGACTCATACCATGACTGTGCTTCAACTCTCCTCCATTTGTAGTTGGGGAAACATAGCCCTCAAGAGAACAAAGGACTTGTYTAAGCCCCATAGTAAGACAGCAGCAGAGCAGGAGACCCAAACACAGTGACCTTGCCCCCGCATGCCATGGGGCRTTATTCCACCCTCACCAGGGGTGGGCCAGGAAGGGAGAGAGGGTAGGCAGGACTCTGTGAGAATCTCAAGGTGGAGCCAAAGAATGATTCCACATTATTATTCGGTCTTCATTGAGACAGCAGCAGCAGCGCAGTGATGAAGATAWGGTTCTCTCAGTCCCCCAGGGGTTTTGAGGAAAGAGGCATCGGGRAGGAAGAGGCTGGTGTCCTAGGCAAGAGTCACATTAGCTCCAAGTCCATACATGTGACTGGCTGCCGGGCGTTGAGTAAAGGAAGGGAAAGAACATAAACATACACACTTCACTGGGGAGTCTGAGAGCCTTCAGCTTTCTGCTCTCTGCTTTGTTATGTAAAATTGGGAACCAGAGGAAGAGTGAAGGCCCTGTTTCCTTTGCCACCTCCCAGAAGAGCTGTTTGTGGGGCATCTGTTTCCTGCAGGAGATGTTGAGACTCTGAGGGCTTTGGAGGCCTACGCCCCCTAGAGCACAGCCTATGACCTGGCACCTGCTGGGGCTGCATTCCAGTGGGAGGAGGAGGGCCAGSAGAGAAGCAAGCAAGGAGGTTTAGATCATGCCCTTTAGGATTGACCATTTCTTTGAAACCAGAGACCAAAGGGAGAAGACAAGCTGGATGAGATCCAGAGGCTCATGGAATCCAAAATTGAGCCCTGGATGGAGAGTTTAGATGACCTAGTTTTAATTCCAATTCCAACAGCTGTTTAAACCCCAGTTCCAAAAGGAACATACAACTGCTGTGTGTGCCAGAAACCCTGGAAAGGTCTTGATCTGGGACCTGGCATGTAGCGAGTACGTACTTAATGAAAGCTATTATGCAAAGGGTGTGGGCTCAAGAAATGAGCTCATATTGCTTACACATCAAGCCTGACATCACTGCCTTCCCCCCTCCTTTTTTTTTTTTTTTTGGTACCAGGGATTGAACCCAGGGGCAATTAACAACTGAGCCACACCCCCAACTCCTTTTTGTACTTTATTTTGAGACAGAGTCTCACTGAGTTGCTTAAGGCCTCTCACTAAGTTGCTGAGGCTGGCTTTGAACTCATGATCCTCCTGCCTCAGCCTCCAGAGGTACTGGGATTACAGGCTTGTGCCATTGTACCAGGCTTTTATTGAGTAAGCTATTTAAAACCTCTCTGTGCTTTAGTTTCCACATGGGAAAATAGGAATAATAATAGCACCTCCATTGCAGGGTAACATTAGATTTGATAAAGTAATAGTATTTACTAGTTAGTTCTMAGGCAAAGTGATGTCAGTAAATGACCCATTAGTTATGTTCGCTTGATTGTGCTGGTGGACCACATGAGGCATTACAGCCTGCTGTAAAGACTTGGGCTTTTATACTGCATTAACCAGAGGCCACTTGAGCAGAGGAGAGACAGGATCTGACCTATTTCAAGAGGATCACCCTTGCTATTGTGTGAAAAATGGGAGGATTAGAGGTGGGATGGAAGGAGGTCCAAGCTCAAGATGATATCAATGGAAGTGCTAAAAAAGACGGTGGTGTATTTTGAAGGTGGAGACAGCGGATTAGTGATAGGTATGAGAGGACAAGGAATAATAGAGGCACTAATGGGGACACCAGTGGTCTTGCCTGAGCACTTCTTTTAACTGCTCTGTGTAGAAAATGTGCTTTTTTTTTTTTCCTGTGGGTCATTTTTCGATGGACATTGAAGTTAGACTGCTCCACAGAAATATTTTTGAAGCTTTCCATGACTGTTTTCTTCTTTTTTGAAGTGGGAGTTATAATAGTAGCAACTCCAAAGGTTGTTGATAGCACTGTAACAATTCATACCAGCACTTAGCACTGTCTCTGGAAAACAATGCTAACAATTTTGACTTGTGAGAAGCTTCGCCTATCCTAGCTATACTGACCCTTACTTTGGGTATTGTTTAGGTGCTCTCTGATGGGGTTTGACCTGAACCGACACTGGCTAGATCCTTCTCCATGGGCCCACCCGACCCTGCATGGAGTGAAGCAGCTCATCATCCAGATGTACAACGACCCAGTGAGTAACTGAATGCTCTCAGCAGCTGCTGGCCTCATGGCATGATCTGGGAAAGGGAGGTGTATGGGGAGGGTCCACTGCGAGCTTCAAATTCGGAATACACATTCAAAACCAAGGAAGGAYTAGGTCTGCTCTTCTCTGAATTTGGCAGACCCAAGTACCTTCTTCCAATTCCTTCTTCCTCACCCCTCACAAATACTATATTTGGTTATGGTGGTCTCATGGAATGAAGGAAAACATTGGAGCATGTCCGTATTCCTCAGAGTGCCTTGGTTACAAGCTAAAGAAATGCAACTTGAACTCGTGTAAGCAAAATAGAKAATTTGTTAGAGGATTACCAGGGTCATGTCATGTGACTGAAGACTGTAGTCTGCCTCCTCCACACCTAGGGGAAATGACTGTCATGTGTCACCTCCACTGGTTCTGACTCCCACGCACTACAGAGACTTGCTTGCATTTTCCAGTTCCAGTTCCAAAAGGACTGTGATTGGCCTGGCTTGGAGGACATGTCCACCTCCAAAGCACAGCACTCTGCCCAAGAGGCAAATATATGTAAAGACAGGATGGCTTCATGGGACCCACACAGTTGAACTAGGGACATGGGGTGGTACCTGTTCCCAGAGAAGAGAGCCTATTATTCCAGAACAAAGGGGAACCAGGCATCAGGACAATGGTGCCCACACCAAGTTTGTTCACAGGGCAAGTTCTTTTCCATCAGATATAGAAGACAGTAGGGTTTCTTGGCTTAGAAAAGGGAAGCATCACAATCATTCTGTTCTGAAGAACTGTCACAGAAGGTGGGACAGATCATTTTTTCGGGTGGTGAACACAGGAAGAGGTGGTGTTTGTAGAGAAACAGAACTTTTATCTCTCCTGAGGATAGAATGGGTGTGTGAACTATGAGCTTTGCCTTACTTTGTTAAACTTGGAGCCAAATAACACTCTGTTAAGACTGGGGCATTGRGCTGGGGATGTGGCTCAAGTGGTAGTGCGCTCGCCTGGCATGAGTGCGGCCCGGGTTCGATCCTCAGCACCACAAACAAACAAAGATGTTGTGTCCGCCAAAAGCTAAAAAATAAATATTAAAAAAAATTCTCTCTCTCTCTCTCTCTCTCTCTCTCAAAAAAAAAAATAAAATAAAAAAAGACTGGGGCATAGAGGAGACTCAACTGTTTGGAAGACACTCTGGTGAAATTACATCCGAGTCACTTCCAACTATGTTGACTGTGATTTGATGACCTCTTAACTTCTATCAGGTGACAGATGGCAATGGCTATAACAGCAAAGTTCTCAGAGTTGAGGTGCTTCAGAGGTACACCATGCAACCCATTCTATTTCCTCTTGATGAAGATGCCAGTAATAGCATGGGAAACACATAGATTGATCAGACAAAAATGTGTACTTAAAAATAAACTCAYATATTAGAACCAGGATTAACCAAAAAGTTAAGCTCTGAGGCACAACATAGTTATCCTGGTTATTGAATAACTGTTTTCCTGATTGTGGGTGTGAATTTGGCCTTCCTGGGTCCTTTTGTGGCCTGCCTTCTGTRTCAGGGCTAGTATGGCCACAGCTTTAGTGTATTGACTTCCTTCTTCAGTGTCATTAGTTAAAAGTTACTCATTTGCTCACAAATGGGCATTTGTTCATGTTGCAAAACAGACCCAACAAAAATGAGTTTCAGAGATTTTAGGAAATTATTTATGGCATGAATACATTGACTATGAGCTTGTTGGATCCTAATAAGTAAACTACGGAAGCTGGGCTRGTTTTATAAACTTCCTGAAAGTTCAGGACTTCTTGCCTCAAGCGCAAGAAAGTATACAGGCAACTAATACAGGAGTCTAGGTGACCTGGAACAGGGTCCCAACTCCCAGCCCCCAATAGTACTTGGGGGTAAGAGGGAAGCTTAAAATAGCCTGCATTCATATCTCAATAGTTCATTTTCTGGAATGTGGGTCCTCTGCTGAGGGTCTCAGAGGCTCAGTCAAGGTGTCCCCAGGTTGTGGTCTCTCCTGAGGCCCRATCCCCACCCAGTCTTTTACTCTATTCTTTCCACAAACACTTACGTACCACATTTCTCTATTCCAGATACTGCAGTTCTAATGGTGAGGAAACCCTAACCTTTATAATACAATGGGGAAATRGACGTTAAAGAAGTGAATAGTGATAATAATAGATTAACAAAGCATATCAGGGATTATTTTTTAAAAAGCACAAAGGGCGACATAAGCAGCTGGTCATAAGTCTCTGTCTTCCTGGGGCAGTTCTGGTCAACACCTATTGTCCCAGAGTATTTTTTTAATCGCACCCTCCTTCACTCTTAAGAGTCCTGATTTGAAGGATAAACTCTGTGTTCTCTGGTACATATCAAATCCTTCACAAACATGATCCGGATCTGACACAAGTTCGCCTTTGACTTCAGGCATGGCTGTGCCCAGCTGCAAGTGCTGCAGTGCCCTGAGGCATCTACCCTGGAAACATTAAATGTGTATCTACTGACCTTCAGTGCCGCATGCGTCACCTCCTCATTGAGCTAGCTGAACTGCCAGGATGGCTCCTGGCTTGGTTTCTAAATTCTCACAACCTCACCTTTTCTGTCCTGGTGGCCTTCTGCCCACTGAGTCAATAAGCAGAAAATCAATAGGACCCTTAAGATCCAAGTGCCTGTCCTCACTCCTCCTTCAGGCCTCGTGCTGGGTGCTGGTGCCCTAGCATGGCCTGGTGGAGAGGGGCTTTAGAGACAGTTACTCTAGGTGCATCATAGAGGAGGCACAGCTCTGCAAGTCCAACCCAGGAGACAACACCTGAGTCGATATACAAAGGATGCTCAGGGCAGGGAGAACTTTCCAGGCAGGGAAAACTGTGCGCATCTGCCTTGAGAGAGAGGTGTGCTGTGAAGTCTGAAAGTTATTCTGTGTGTCTAGTCCTAGAGGCAGACAGAAGGACAAAGGGACTTTATTTTCATAGGAATGGAGATCCACTGAAGAATTCAGGAAAATGACAGAATCCAGTTTTCCTTTCAGAAAAGCCCTCTGATGCCTGGAGGTGAATGGACTTGGAGGGGTCCTGGCTAGAGACTGGTAGACCATTTGAGTCTATTGCTATTCAGCTGAAGAGGAGGATGGACAGTGTAGAGATGTCAAGGAGTGAGACATGAGGGACCTAGGAACTATGGCCCATGGCAGAGGGAGCTTTCCTGCTGTCATGGTTTTGGCCTGGGTTGTGGAGTAGACATGGTGCCTTTCCTGAGCTGGGGACTCAAGAACAGTTTGTGTATGTGCAGAGCTGGGTGGTGCATCCATCATGGCTAGATGGGCTTGGGTTGAGGATGAGCAGGAGTGAAATGTCCACCGTGTAATGTAAATCTCCTGGAAGGAGTCCTTCTCTGAGATGCCTACTGTCCTTGAGTTAGTGATGCCTTCACTTCCAAGGCTGCTTTTCTTAGCCCTATGTCCCCTAAATCCTTCACCCCAATTGGAGACACTGAATATTCAGTGATGACATTGAAAAAGAAGTGTTCAACCTGCGGACCACACTGGGGCTGAGATATAAAATGTTTCATGTTCCGCTTTCCCAATAGCTCCCCCTGGACAGTGCAGCTCTTGTTTACCAGTGTGATTGATTCCCCGCCACCAGGGGCAGAGTCTGGTTAATTTTTCCCTGTGTCCCTTGTGCCCGGTGAGGATCTGACTCTAAACAGGTCCTTAGCATAAAATGTTGAGCAAATGATGAAGCCAACCTGGACCCTCTGACTTGGTTTTCAAAGACTTTCCCGAAGAAGAGGCCACTTGAGCCCAGACCTCTCTCCTACCTCACCTGCCCCGAGTGTCCCCTGATTCCACTGCCACCATCATTGTGTTCTCTTTTAATTAGGGTTTGGGTCTGATGACACTAACCCTCTCCTGGGTTCACTTGCCACCTGCTAAGGTTGTTCAAAACTCCTAGGGACAGAACCTGGGATGACATCACCTTCTCCTGTTCCCATGATGCAGGACACAGGTTTCTGATCATCTTTGCTGACTTGCTCCACCCCTGGACTTTATGCCTACTCCATGGCCACCAAAGGCTCTCCCAGGTCCCAGGGCCCTTGTCTTTCCAGCCCCCTGATCTTGCCAACTGTCCAACCACTTCTTGTTGGAGAGCTGAACTTAGGCATCTTGATGTCCTTGCTGGTCACAAAGCCTAAGGGAATAGTCCCAGCTGTGGTACAGCCAGCCCTCTCCTGTCCATTCTGATTTGAGGTCTGAGGCTCTGCTCTCTCCTAGGTAACTACCACCAGAATGAATATCCTCTTTCAGAGAGAGCTCACCCGCTACCCCGGGGAGTTTCATTTTATCCCAGCACATACACCACAGAGTGTGACACCATCGGCCACACAGCTAGTCACTCTCAGGCAAGGCCACACCCAGGGTCCTTACATTCAGTTGTGATCTTAAAAAGTGAAGTTAATTTGTGGATGGGCTTTCTAGGACCATCCAGGTGCAGCTCTTCTAGCCCATATGTACCTGTGAGGTTTGCCTAGAGGTGAAGCTGAATTTGAAGATCAGCCTTTGCTTTAAAGCACAGGGCATATTCACAGGAAGACTCCTGGATAGCCTCTGTGCTACAGAGATTAGTGGGCAGGGCTCTAGGCCAGGAGGGATGCCCATCCCATGGGGAAGTCTGTACCACAACTTACTTTGGAAACATGAGGCTGGGAGAGATTCATCCAATTAGAGCTGATGGTGAGGAGGTAACCACAAAAGCCTTAATGAAGAAATTGCATTTCAACTGGGTCTTTCAGAATATAATACTCCATCAGATGGTTTAGAGAGGAGGGAGGTTACAGGGAAAGCGGAGCTGGCATTCCAGGTAAAGCCGAGCCACAGAATGGAGGTGAGTGACCTCAGCCACTGACGTTGGTTTGCAGGATTTATAATAGATAGCTGTAATGGGCAGGCTGAGGACGCTCATGGATGGGTTTGCACAAAGATTTAAAATCAAAGTTCCAGCCCTTC